CTGTCTCATCGGTCCCTTTGTACTGATCAAAATCACTAGGAGTTGTCCTCTCCCCTGCTGACATGCTCATTCAGTTAGTCCTAGCAGTATGGACTCCCAGGGGGTGATTTACTCTGAAGGCTATAACCCACTGCAATCTTTATGTTGTTGCTCAAATTGTCCCTGATTCGGCTGTTGGGAGTGCCTCTCTTTATGTGGCTTCCTGTGTTTCTTGGACAAGCCCCCCACCATTTTTTCAGGAACTCCTTACTTTTTGATACAAGGTAGTCTAGGCTTGTCTTGCAGTTTCTTGGCCCTGGAGCCTGTCTTGACTCAAGGAGCCCGTCTTGACTCAAGGAGCCCACCTTGCTTCAAGGAGCCCTGTCGATGGTGCTGGAATCCAGGATCTGGGTGCTGGGTGTGAGCCTTGCTGTTGGGTCTTGCTGCGTCTGGGCCCCTCTTTGCTCAGGGCTGAAATAGCTGTATGTAGGTACACATGACACGTGAATACATGCATACATGTATGCACACATGTCTATTTTTGTAGCTTGTGAGCAAAATGTGTCAGCGAACTAGGAGTCTGATATACCCAGCTCTTACCCACAGCATAACTAGTCTCTTCAATCTGAGAATACAGTTCTGGAAATGCTCCTTAAAGACTGACTCACTAGAGTGCAAACTTCTGCCCTTCCAGCTCTAGCTCTAGTCACAGTACTATTTCCACAGTTTCTGTCTCCCAGCCTGTGCTGCAGGCACAGGGCAGGCGATCCATCTGGGGTCCGCCACATCCCGGCTCATTTTCCGAGTGTGTGAAACACGAGTGAGGTTCAGTCAGCACTAAACTACATACTGGTGACCATTCTCATTAGTTTCTGGTTTCTTCTTTCTGAATTCCTTTTTTTTATACAAATTCAGAGATATATCTACAATTTTTCCTTACATCTCATTCTAATGTACTATAGATACTCTTGGATTCTGCTTTTTCATTTTTGTTTGTTTTTAAAAAAGAAAAAAACCATTTTGCTAGGGAACAGTTTTCTGAAAATCACAAACCTGCAGCATGTCAGCATTCAGACATTCATTGCTACAAGACGGAGCCAGCACATCCCAGGAAGCCTGAGGGGATGAGTGCCCTCACTGGGGACACCCTCTCAGTCCACATGATGACACATGCACATTTAAAGACAGAACTTAACACTCTTGAGGGAAGTGAAAATCTAAAAGGAAGGATAATTTCCCAAAATTATCTGGGAGGCTCAGCTGTGAGCCAAACCCATCAGAGTGCAAGGGCATCCTGGGTGCCCCTTTCTCAGTCACACCACCTCAGAAGTGACCGTCAGGGTGACAGGTGAGTGCCAGCACTCTGTCCCCAATGACCAGCCTGGTGGTCTTCCCCTGGAAATTTAGCCTTTGTCTACTTTTCCACCCATCAAATCTCTAAACCGCAGTTTTTCCAGTGGTTCTTGTGCCATCAGTTGCCTCTCCATTCTGCATTCTAAGTATCTTTTTGATTTGTATCTGCACAAAGTGTTCTCAAAATTATTTTCACAGAGACACTTCATGAACTTCTCCTTGAAGCATCCACATTCACTGAAGTGGCCCAGCAGTAAGCTGCCCTTGTGTGGGGTGTGCTGTGGCTGGAAGCTCTTGGCCCCAATGTACAGGGTGGCATAGAAGCCCTGAGTGTCCCGCTTTAAAAAGACTCTTACAATTTTTTTCATGAAAACAGAATCTTTTATTTTTCTATGACATTAATGATTTTAAAAAAGATTTCTTCATATTTTTTTCTCCAAGTTGGTCTCTATTTAAATTTGTTTTGGTTTCTATCTTTTGTGAAAGAAAGCTTTTATCAGATGTCTGAGAATCCTTATCTATCTGCTCATGATAATGACTGGATGAAAGAGCTGGTTGCAAACAGCATGTATGTATGTAGGGCTTATTGAATCTGAACTTTAATGTTGGGTGAACTGGGTAAGACATTTATTGAGGAATTGAGGAATTCAGACTATGACTATACTAATTTCCTATTGCTACTGTGACAAATAATCACAGACTTAGTAAATAAAACAACACAAATTTATTCTCTTACAGTTCTGGAAAGCAGAAGTTCAAAATCAATTTTACAGGACTACAATCAAGATTTTGGGAGGACTTGAGTTGATTCTGGAGGTTCTAGGCAAGAATCCACTTCCTGGACTCTTCCACCTTTACTGGCTACCTGCACTTACTTCATCATCAAAGCCAGCAGTCTAGCAGTTTCTCTCTTCTCTGATTTCTGCTTCTGTTTTTACATCTTCTCTCTCAGGCTAACACTCTTTCCTTCCCCCTTTTCATATCCTCACCCAAGGATACTGGTTTTAGAGAAAGAGGGAGGGGGAGAGAGAAACGTTGATGAAAAAAGAAGCATTGATCAGTTGCCTCTCGTTTGTGCCCTGACAGGTAATTAAATCCTCAGTCTTGTGGTGTAAGGGACAACACTTCAAGTCACTAAGCAACCTGGCAAGGGCACCTCCCTATTATAATAATCCTCTGTAATTAATTAGACTCACCTGCATAAACCAGAATACTCTTCCTATTTTAAGAAACTTAATTTAATCACAGCTCCATTTTAAGGTAACATAGTCACAGGCTCTAGGGATTAAGACAGGGCTATCTGGGGAGCCTACCATTTAGGCTATCGTGGGAAGCATTTAAGTTTCTCCTCTTTCACTGGTCATCCTCCCTAGAGAGAGGCTCCCACTCGGGTAAAACTCTGGCTGCCAGCATTCTGTGATCTGTGTGGGTTGGGAGGGTTTGGAAGCAAGTGTGCCTTATATTCGTCATTCGGCATGCAGAGTATCTTAATCCCTTTGGTTTTGGTACAGTATCTGTATCTTTGGTAAGTCTAGTTCCTTCTAACTCAGAGACCCTCTATTTTACCCCTTTCAGAGAATAAACTTTCAGATGTCTGTTATTTCCCAGGTGCATGGAGAGGAAAGGGAAATAGGGACCCAAATTTTCTTATCTTAGTGGTCTTTCTTTACTTCTAGTTTCAGTGATATCTAATACTATCCACTTGAGAGTCTCTAGAGGAGTAAATCTAGTCTTCTGAAGTGTAAATCCTGTTGGCTCTCAGCTTCCCCCACTGATTGATAGCTTGGGATTTTCATGTTTCTTGAGTTATTTGGGTAGGTTATGTCTCATGAGTAAGCTTCGTAACTTCCAAAATTTTATTGCTGTTGTCTCTTTCCCTTATATCCCCATATGTGTTGGTTTTTGTGAATTTAGTTGTGACTTTAGGCAGAAGTGAAAATAGATGTGTATGTGTGCATGTTTTTATATCAACCCCCAAAAACCATTTGATTTAAATTGGTTATGTTCTTTGGGTCAAGCATGAGTTGGTTCTGACTTGGATAGCCAGGTACCACATCCAGTAAAAAGATCTTAGTGGCCAGGTTGTATATTCTGCTTTTACCTCCCCAATTACACACATTCAAACTGACTCCTTATTTGCATTTGATATCTCAGTTCTTCCAGGACTGGAATCTTGTCCTTAATTCTCAGCTTCATCTCACAGCAGAAAGCAGAGCTGGCAGGAATCTTTCTGGAAATAAGAGGCTGTGGTTTTCATAACAAAATTGAATTGAATTGGCCCTGTGACTGTGGTTTTTCAGTGGATGTAAGTGTACCGACCAGAGGCTGGAGTTTTAGGAACCCGAGTGTGATGGCTATTAGGTTCACAGTCTCCGAGCATGTGGCCAAAGGAAGTGTTGGCCTCTCTTATACTTTATCTGGTCTAGAAATGCCTACCACTTATCTTTGCCTTCGTTCTCTCCCAAGACTTCTGACCCTAGGACCTTCCTCCACCTTCTTCCTTTTCTGTTGTATTTGTGACATTTCTAGGTCTCAGCCACCCCAAATCTGCTCCAACTGAACCTGGGTTCAGATTTTAAGTCACCCTGCTCCTAAGAGCTTTATAAGTACTAATTCAATCTTCACAGCAACTCTATTATTATTCCTATTTTACAGATTTGGAAACCTAGGCACAGAGAGGTTAAGTAAACTTTACCAGGATAACACAGCTAATAAGGCAGAGCTCAGATTTGAATCTAAGTAATTTGACTCCAAAATATATCTTTAAATATCACTATGTTATAAGACTGATAAATAAATCCCATCCATGTGCCAAACACCGTTGTCTGAGATTATATATATATATATATATACACATACTTGTGTGTATGTGTATGTATATGAGACAGTTAATCCTCATAGAAACCCTAGATCAAGCAAACAACCAAAAAGGAAAGTAGTGAAGATCTAAACAACAAAATTGACAACTTGACATAATGGATGCATATAGAAGCTTACACCCAGCATTTCAAGGAAACATACTTGTACATAGAACATTTACAAATATTAGCCATAAAAAGTATTAAAAATGTTCAAAGTATCAGTATCATATAGACCACATTCTTTGATCACAACTTAATTAAGTTATAAATAAATTAAAATGTAATAAAAACATATTTGGGGATTTTGAAGCACCTATGAAAACTCATAAATTATAAAGAAAAGTAGAAAATATTTATAACTGAATAATTGGAAAAATACAACATTTCAAAGTTTTTTTGATGTTAGCTAGGTAACAAATGCATAGTCTTAAGTGCTTATTAAAAAAAGAAAGGTTGAAAATTAATAATCTAGGCATTCAATTTAAGAAGTAAGGAAAACATACTGAGATAGAAGCAAGGAAAATGAGAGAAATAATAAATAAGTAAAAGAGCATATTGCATAAAATAGAAATCATTCTCAGTTAGGAGTAGCTGGCAATTCTCAGTCTCTCTGAAAATCAGAAAATGGAAAGAGTTCTTTCTAAAGTGGATAAGAAAAAGAGCTATCACACTCACATGTTATGTTTAGTTCTTTCCAAATTTTAGCTTCTTAAGTGAATTTTATAGAAAAGATGAGACAATATTTACTTTTTAAATGTTTATTTTTTCTAATTATTCAAGTAATACATTTTCAAGGAAGATTTGTAAAATATAGAAAAATGTAAAGAAATTTCATTACTAGGTGCTAATTATTAACTATCAACATTGAGGTATTTTTTTCAGTGTTTTTTTTCTGTGTATCTGAAGATTTGTACATGCCTACTTGTAATTACAAGGTTGTTTTAAAAAATTGGGCACAAGCTGCACATGTAGATTTGAATTGAACTCTTTTACTTAAAATTGCATCGGCATACGCTTTTTAAATACTAAATTTTTGAGTGGCTGTGTTTATATTTAAATTACTGACAGATATATGGTATTGCATTTGACTGTGCCCCTGTTTTTCCACATGTTTCCAGTTCTGTGGTGGAGTCATTTAGCTGACATCTATCCATGGCCCACTTGATGTAAGGTAACACATTGAATCTAAACATGGTTGAGACAGTCCTAATATGTCTGACAAACTGAGGGGTTGACCTGCCAGAAGTCTATTTACAAGAGGACTGTAAGAACTAAAGAAAGAGGGTACTGGACATATGAGCTTGTAGCCTTTGTAAAGTAATCAGATATTCTGTATGTTGGCTTCCTTCCTTATCTTTTAATTATTTTTCTGACAGCAGTTCCTGGATTGTTTCATTCTTGGCTTCCTAGTTCAGATTCTCAAACAAGAATGACTGTTAATAAACCAGGAAGTGAAAGACAAATACCATATGATCTCACCTTTAACAGGAACCTAAACAACAAAACAAACAAGCAAGCAAAATATAACCAAAGACACTGAAATTGAGAACAGGCTGACAGGGACCCAAGGGAAGAGTGGAGGGAATTTCAGGGGAAAAGGGGAAGGGTTTACAGGAACAAGTATAGAGGACACATGGACAAAAACTAAGGGGGGTGGAAATGGGAGGGAGGTGGGGAGCACTGAGGGGGTGGGCTGGGATGGGAGTAAATGACAGAAAACTGTACTTGCACAACAATTAAAATAAATTAAAAAAATTACAATGACCAGAAAGTTTGTCCAATTTGGCATTACCATTTGTAGAAGATAAATGATGTGGTATTTTGGTGATAACCTAGAGGTTTTGCTGAAATGAAGATACAAAAAAAACTTCTATGAAATAAATATATTATAATTTTTAAAAAAGAATGACTGTTAATCTTGTTTGGATATGTTTTACTCTTGGCTAAGCTAAGCAAGAGGCCACTAGGGTGACAATAGGCTGCCCATGGCTTGAGTACCTGTCCCAATTCTGTCATCTAGATCCGGGGCATGGGGTCACGTGGTGCACACATGGCATGCTTTCAAGGTGTGAACTTCAGCAAAAGTTGTGGGCTGGGCAGGCTCTCTTAATGAAGGCAGTAGGCTGAGCGGGCACCAAAGGGAGAGGCATTCTCCAGACTACTGGCTACTACTGCCCAGCTTTGGCACAGAGAAGGTGTTGGCAGAGCATTGCTGACACTGTCAATAAGGACAATGATGAGGAAATGGCAGAAGGGTTAAGATACAGTGGGCTTATAATGGAGAGAGGTATTCAACAGAGCAGCCACAATGAGCAGAAGGGGCTAATTCGAATATAGAACATAGAGTGTCTAGTATGCTCACTTTATGCTAGGCCCTTTGGGTGATAGGAAAATTTAAGACATGGCTGCTATTCTCAAGGAGACTATGGTAAGTATCGGCAGGAAAATTATCAGTGTTTTGCTTAATATGCTTTTAAAAAATAAATACAGGTAGTGATAACTCCCCATGACAATTATAATATCAACTGGTTAATGGTCACTTTGTCTAACCTATTGAACATGTCCTCAGCTGTTCATTATTTCATGGCTATCTCTTGTAGCCCATCACACTCATCACCAGGGAAGAGAAAATAAAGCCAAGAACTCAGGCTATACTACCCAAAACAATTTATAGATTCAATTCAATTCCTATTAAAGTGCCAATGACATATTTCACAGATACAGAACAAATATTTCAGAAATTTATGTGGAACCATAAATGATCCCAAATAGCTGCAGCAATTTTGAGAAAGAAGAAGAAAGTAGGTGGGATAACAGTACCTGATATCAAACTGTATTAGAAGGCTGCTGTAATCAAAACAGCCTGGTACTGGCATAAGCACAGGCACATAGATCAATGAACAGAACAGAGGACCCAGAAATAAACCCAAGCCTCTATGGTCAATTAATATTTCACAAAGGGGGAAGAAACATATAATAGAGTAAAAATAGCCTCTTCAACAGTGTTGAGAGATTTGGACAGCTTCATGCAAAAAAAATGAAACTCAATTACCAACTTACACCATCCACAAAAATAAATTCAAGGTGGATAAAAGACTTAAATATAAGTTGTGACACCATAAAAGTCCTAGAAGAAAATATCAACAGGAAAATCTCAGACATTCCATGCAGCAACATCTACACTGATATGTCCCCTAGACCAAGGGACATAAAGGAAAGAATTAACAAATGGTACCTCATCAAATTAAAAAACTTCTACATGGCCAAAGAAAACAGCATTAAAATGAAAAAAGAACCAACTATATGGGAAAACATATTTGCCAATGATACCTCAGACAAGGGTTTGGTCTCCAAAGTATGTAAAGAAACCACACAACTCCACTCCAGGGAGACAAACAGCCCAATTAAAAAATGGGCAAAAGACTTGAATGGACACTTCTCCAAGGAGAACATAAAGAGGGCCCAGGAACATATGAAACGATGCTCAGCATCACTAGCCATCAGAGAGATGCAAATTAAAACCATGATGAGATAATACTTTACACCAGTCAGAATAGACATCATAAACAAATCAACAAGTGTTGGAGAGGATGTGAAGAAAAGGGAACCCTAATGGACTGTTGGTGGGAAAGTAGACTGGTACAGTCACTGTGGAAAACAGTATGGAATTCCCTAAGAAAACTAAAAATGGAACTGCCTTTTGACCCAGCAATTCCACTGCTGGGATTATGTCCCAAGAACCATGAAACACCAAAAAGAAATTATGCACCCCAATGTTCATAGCAGCACAATCTATAATAGCCAAGTGCTAGAAGGAACTTAAGTGCCCATCAGTAAATGAGTGGATCAGAAAACTCTGGTACATTCACACCACGGAATACTACACAGCAGAGAAAAAGAAGAAGCTCCTACACTTCTTTCCTACCCTAATTATTTAAAAAAAAAAGAACTCAGCTAGGCTATATATATTTATGTAAAACTTCTTTGGCTTATCTCACTCACTGCTTTCCTCATTGAACATTGATTGAAGTGTTATCCTATGCCATTTACAGGTACTCAAGATTGGAAAAAGCATATGCTTCTTTAAAGGTTGGAAGATAACAGAATTTTTTAATGGTAAAAATATGAGTCAAAAAGTATTATCAAAAAGATTTTGACAATAAAACATAATAAAGAAAACTTGGGAAAATACAGAAATGTAGGAAGGGTCACCTATGACACAAATCAATCACAATTGACATTTTGTGTAAATACTTCTAGATTTAGTTTTTTTCCTCTGTTTTGATTACTAGGTGTTTTGTTTGTTTACTTGTTTTAGAAGGTTATGCTTATACTATAAACATAAACTTGTAATCTGCTACTTCAATTAGCACTATTCATAATCTTTAAAACATTATTTGTAATTACCATATAATATTACAATGAGTGTACCACACTTTATTTAACCTTTTCTATAACCTTCAAATTTTTAGGTACTTCTAATTTTCCAGATTATTAAATAACCTTGAAATGTATACATTAGAATAAGTTTTACTTTGTATTCTTCTTTATTTCCAGAGGTATAGAAATAAATAAGAAATAGACTTGTTTAATCAAAGTATATAAACATTCTAAAGATCATGATACATATTGCTTAAAAAATTCTAAATGAAAGTGTGGCATAATTTGCACTTCCAGGGAGGACTGTAAATTTCACAAATGGCTGTAATAAACACCAAATGGAGAAAACATCATTTGAGTATTGCCCTCAACCCTAAATATGAGACTTTGATAGATGACCATAACTTGATAATGGAAAACATTCTTGTCCTTATTCAAATGATTCCAGGCTATAAAAAAAGAAAAACCAAAATGAGTCGAGTAGTAAAGTAGACTTGATTAATGATTCATAGTCCAGGTAGCAAATTAAACTTATAGTTCATATTTAAAACATGATGCACTAGGAAAAACCTATTTGATACCACTATGAAAGGAATTATCTGATATATGTTGTTAAACACACAAGATATCTCAATAATGATTTCTCTTCACTCTGGATTTGCTGGGTAGGTTTAGCAGTTTTAACCATAACTGAAACATTAATATTTCAGCAGATGATCCAGAGATAGTTCTCATGGATAAAGACATGTTTCAGTTCTTAAAAACTACTCACTAGTGAATCAGTATAAAAAAGGATTATTGGCTAAATGGAACATCTTTCAAAAAATAGGGTGATATTTTGAGCCTTTGATTATTTTATGAACAGGAAAATTCTCAATAAATGCATATATTTATTTTAGGTCTGGGTTAAAGCTATGCAGAGCACTAAGATGTTGCTCATGGAAAACACTGGGCTGTTTTCATCACACAATATGGAATTCAGATTTTACAATTCCATTGATTCAATCCATATAGACAAATGAACAGATGCACTGGAACATTGGGAAAAAGTAGAGATATTAGAGGTTAAGTAAAGATGAGGGCAGTAGGAATGGAAAGAAAATGATGGAATTCTAAAAGCCTTTTAAGAAAACTCTTTGAATCCTGGGCAGTGGGGATAGAATGGAGGAGGTACAGGTGCCAGTGGGGGTCTGTTACCTGGATGATGACTGAATAAGTTCCACACAGTATCTTGGATAACTGAATGACTACTCTGATGAGGCAGACGATCACCTGAAGCCCACTGAGTGCTATAAGAATGGAAAACAAAATAATGTTCCATTCCACTACATGTGCAGGCTCAAGACACTGAATCCATATGGTGGAATCTGTAAGGAAACTGAGAAAGAGGAGGGATATGGTCAACAAGGCCCAACAAGGCCAAATCTACATATTTGGTCCAAGGCTGAAGGTTACAGTTATTTATATGTCTGGGACACAAATATATATGATTGAAATACACAATATTAAATATTAATTCATTCATTAAAAATTATTCAGTACATATATTGAACATATAGTATGCATAACACCAGGTTGTGCTGGTTGTAAACATGGCGCCTGCCACACAGGCAAGTTCTAATTCAATCAAGAAGGAAGACACACACTGAAGAGTTCAACAGCAATGAAAGGCAGCACATGTCATACCAAGAGAGGTAAAACTGATGTTTTTTTGAAGCCTAGAAGTTAGCCTGGACTCTGAGGGACAGGGTTGAGCTCGTGCTGGATACAGAATCACACAGGTGGCAAAGGAGCAAAGAGAAATTCCGCTAGATATTCCTGGACTGTGTCCCAGAGCTCTTTGGAACAGTGATTCCCAAACTTGAGCTTACATCAGGATTGTGGAGGGTTTGTGAAAATGCAGATTGCTGAACTCTGCTGCAGAGTTCTCGATTCAGAGGCTCTGGATGGGGCTCAAGACTTTGCATTTGTAAGCTCCCAGGTGATGGTGAGCCTGCTGGTCTGGGATCCAGAGTGTGAGGAATGCTTTTTTAGAATGTTGTTGTACTGTACCTTTTAAGAAGATTTAGATTGTGGGTGGGGATGCATAAGGTTTGATCAGTTTACTTTAGCACAGAATTGTGAGAATTCAACTACCCCCAAGATAATTTTAAAGCCACACTGAATCGACCTGACATTTGCTCACTTGCAGGTCTATGGTGACCATTACCACTTCTTCTAAGGACGGCATTCTTTCTGTTCAACTAAATCAAGATGGAAAACTACTTTTATTTTTAAAAATTCCCTATTTTTTTCCCCTACAGAAACAATCAAACCCATATACAGGGCAGACTTGTCTCTAAATATATTGTCAATAGGAAGACAATTTTTCTTAATGTAGCAATTCAGGCAACTTGGGTACCAGACAAGTGGTTCTGGGCATCAATACTTGTGGCAGAAAGGGGTGAATTCTGTATTTTTGTCACTACCACCCCCCATGACCTTTCCTCTTTGTTTTTCTCTCTCCCCACTCCATTTCTTTTTTATTTTCTTCCTTTAACTCTCTTTCCTACTCTCTATGCTCCAGGACACTCAGAGGCACTTTGAGAATTTCTTGGTATTGCCAATGGCCCTTAGGTCTCAAGAGGTAACAAGCACTGAATGTGAAGTCAGAATTCCCAGATCTGTAGGATCTTGGGCAAGGGACACTAAAATTGTGACCTCTAGACTCTTATCTGAACAATGAACTTAAAATATATAACCCTAAGGTTATTGTGAGAGTTACGTAAAAATGCCCTAGAACCTGTAAAGCACGGTGCAGATTTAATTTCTTGTTACCATTCCCCTATACCTATTTCATGTGCCCTTATATGCCTCAGTCTTAGCCACCAGGGAAGCTAACCTTTTCAAAATCCCTACTCTAGACTGTTGCTAATACATGGTCTGCACAGATTATCCAACAGGTTAAAACAAGAAGACAGGCAGGCTTTCTATTTTTCTCCCAGACTATGGTACTATTTATTCTTTTAAACAATGGAGAATCATAAGCACACTAGCAGGATTTGCAAGGAGTAGAGAAGCCAGAAATGGGTGAATGCAAATATCAAGGGCAACTTTAAAGGCATAATAGAGAGGCAAGCAGGCTGCCTGAGAGTCTCACATAGAAAATGGAGGCTTCTTTGGTTTTGGAGTGGGGAAAAGTTCAGGAGCTAACGACATAAAAAAAGGATGTTTTTGCACTGAGTGGGACTTTCTACATTAGAATCCCATTTCCTGAAGCCCTTTAATCCCACGGGATTGTTTCCTCTAAGTGCTCAGAAAGTCCTGGGGTTGGTTTCTAGGTTGTCCTGGCCTGAAGGAGAGCTCTGGACATAGCACCTTGTGCAACCTTCAGAATGAAGGTGCTTAGAAGCAGCTCTGCCATCCAGGTGTAGGTGAGCCTGTAAGACCTCAAACAGTGTGGGTCTGGAACATAAAACTAGTCATGGGAGTTGAGAAGAAAATGTAACTTCCCAAGGAAATGATACAGACACCCTCTCATTTTATTCCATTAGAATTCTGAACACAGGATGAGACGGGGGATTCAACAGCCCTCTCCTGTATCTCTGTCTGGGCTCTGTGACCTTTTCACTTCCTCTGCAGATACTGGGAGGGCAAAAAGCCCAGCACAATGCCAGTGTGAGGCATTCTGTGATCTAGGATTGGGTCTTTCAATACCTGAGTGAACTACCATTCCAGCCTTTCGAGCAGCCTTTAAGATTCTTCTTTAGTGTGCGCTAGATGAGCTCCTGGCTCCTTCTACACACTGCTGCATGTCTCTGGATCTCAGACTGCGCATTGCTACTCGCCCTGCCTAGTTCTATCTCTGTGTAGCCCCTGCGGATACAGCCCTGGGTGGCACTTTCCAAGGGCACTGTGATTCTCTCTCAGCTGAGCCCTTCTATATCTGTAATACACCACATGTCCAACCTGACCACAAAATAAGAATGACCTCCCAGAACCACTCAAGCCCCGGGCTCCAGCAGTTGCCAGACCACAATAACCATGAAGCCCTGTTTTCAAGTATGGGAGAAACACATCTTTCATTTGGATATCTCCATGACAGCCTCAAAACTGTGAATGCATGTGGCATTAAAAGACTAGAGAAAAAATATCTAAACAAAGATTTGTATGGAAACATATTGATCTGGAGATTAGTAAACAAATAGAAAAGTTCTACATTAAATTAGCTGCATGGAACCCCAGAGTGATCATGGAAAATGAACAAGAGCATGCAGTCAGGTATTTCTCACCTCCTTAATTTGGGAAATTTTTCCTTACCGTCCTGCAGTGCCTTCAAAGGCATATTCCCAGCCATTGAGGGTGCGGCAGTACGGGCCTTGGACAAGGCCCAAAGCTGATATGGCCAGGCAGTATCCAGAGAAAGCAATTCCAAGGGCAGAAAAGATCATTGACAGCAGTGTCTAAGTTAAACACAGAAGGAGGTTAGTGCCATAGAATGAGATAAGGGGATATTGTGGATAAATGATCAGATAGGTACCTTCCCTTCTCATTCAAGGCCACTTTATATAATAACAAATGTTCAGATAAAATTGGGAACATTTAATCCAAACTCACCTACTCTTAAAAATATGTTTTTAAATGACTTTTTGTTTGTCATTCCCCAGAGAGAATTAGTTAATTTGCTAAATTTCTTCCTTTTTTCTGGAATTTTGACATTAAAACAATGATCACCTCATACATAATACATTGAATGGATATGATCGATTAGTATATACTTATTTATTGAAGGTGTTATTTTCTAGCTAGGGTATTCTCTAAGAATCATAAGCTATGGTCCCTGCTTTTCTCTTATATAAATGATACTTTAGTATCTTCACATATAAGAATATGAGGAAAATATCAGCTGATCATATTTATATTTAGGTAAGGATGGGATTGATGAGAAGGGGAGTGTTTTTATTTAAACAGAGAGGATGAGCAACATTCACAGGCAAATCAGCACAAGGAGAGTGGTGAGAGTAAGTGGAGTGGTTTGATCAAAGGGGGGGTTCAAATATCTGTTTGAAAGACATTAAGATTTCTCACCCCTACATATATCAGCTCATATCTTCCGTAGCTGTGTTTTACTTTTTCACACAGATGCCAGTGAAGGTTTATACACAAAATTATATCTCTTTACTTTCTTTTAATCTACACTAATCTTACTATCTTTTTGTTTTTCAGTATATTAAATTATTTTTGAAGAGTCCCAGCCAGTTGTCTTGTAGAATGCTCTACATTCTGGGCTTTTCTGATTGTTTCTTCCACACTGGACTTGGGTTGAACATGTTCATAAGAACATGTGATTGGTGTGAGTACATTGTGGGCCTCTCACTGTTTCTGGTGATGCTAAGTTAAGGTGGTTTCCTTCAGATCTATACATGTACATTTTCCACTTTGCAGTAGCAAAAATTTGTGAGGTAGTACTTTGAGACTGTGTCATATCCTGTTCCCTAAACACATTTCAACTGATGAATTTAACATCACTGATGATCCTCATACCCATTGGTCACCAATTATCATAATAACTGGTTGCAATGTGCTGCTTTTCTACTTTATCATAATTTCTTCTGCCTTTATAAGTTATCATTTTTATGAACCAAAGATCTTCCACTTCCCATTTCTTTCTTCACTGTACATCTCTTTCTGTATTATTATAGACTCATATATATTCGAATTCAATGTGTTATAATTCATAACTGTTACTGTTTTAGATGCTGAGGTGGTTCAAATATGGCTAGTGGAACATCTATTCAAAGTCAATATCTGTGCCCTCTGACATGTTCTTATCATTCTTTGAACATTTCCTTGCTTTCTGGCACAGATGTTCCAAGCTCATCTTTAATTGATGTTGTTCTAAACCTGGAATAAGTTCTTTTTCTGACAAGTCATATAGCTGGTTTTTTAGCACAAGTGTGATATAAACCAATACATGATTTTGGAAGATTTCTCTAATAGTGATGTCATGCCAGCTAGAAATGAGAGCCCAAGAATAAGGATTCCATATGGAGACAACTTTAAGTTCAAGTGACAAAGATGTACACTGGGGGGAAAAAAGACACGAAAGAGGAAATGAGTAGCTGAAGTTGGACTTTAAAAAAAATCCAGATTTTGAGACCTGGATAAAAAGGAGACAGGACTACGGATACCAAGAAGGGTAGTTTGGTTTAGGAGAAAAAATTAGTTTTAGAAATGTTTGTTTTAAGTGAGAATAGGACAGTCAAACAAAAAATACAGTAGCCAGTTAATGATAAATTCAAAAGCTGAGACCAGAAAAAAGGGAGAACAAAAAACCTGTGATTTTAGGAAGAAGGATTACTTATATTTCTTGGTTTAAAATTATTTTACTGATTATAACATGTTTATTATGGAAAATTATAAAAATATATTTCAAAAACAGAAGAACAATTCTACTTTTCTCCTGTCTGATATTATTTCTGTGCTATTCTCCCAAATGATTAAAAGCTCTTTCAAGTTATATCTTTCATATTGGTAGTAATAGGGTTTGCCCCATCATGGGATGTGATGAGGTACTACTTTTTTTTTACAGTTGATTATGGCTAGTTACACTGTGTCAAGAAAATTTACCTATTCACTGATGCCATCTTTGAGAAAGGAAGAAGAATGTTTTGAAAGGATTGAGCTCCTTGTTTACCAAATGTATTCTTAAGCAGTTCACTGGGAAGAGCAGTGAATAATTCCTTTGGGGAAATTGGCAACCACAGCATAATATATAGGTATGTACACACACACATTACAATGTAATTAGTGTTAGATACCATTGCAAATCAAGGTGGGCATCAAAATAAAATGAGAATAAGAATCTCTCTGAACCACAGTTTAATATTCTGTAAAATGTAGACTATGTAGATAATTATAGCACCTACATAACAAGGCTGTTTGCAAAACTCAAGGATACAATGGATATACAACTTAGTTGAAAAGTAAAGTTAAAATATTGCCCATTATTTGAAGTGCTTTTATTTGGCCAATAATTGTTCTCCAGACAGAATAGCCCACAGAATTTTGGCAGAAGTGAGACTCCATGGAGGAATGAATAGCAACCAAAAAGCTGATGGAATTCAGGTTATGCTACACCAAAATATAGAACCTCGGCATAATGAATATCTTAAGCTGAAGGAGTTTGAGAAACTGTAGAAGCAGTATTCCATGTGCAGACCATTTCAAGTTGAGATGAATCACTCTGACCCCCCCACCCATTCTCTTCTCTGAAACAGATAATAAAACTCCCATGCAGATACCACCCCCCCCACCACCACCCTCACCCCATGGAAGAAGGAAGACATTTCACCAGAGACAGGAAATTTGGGACCAAGAAATTGGTATAAACCAACTCATTAACCTAAACTTAATCTTTGTAGTTACTTCTTTACCATTTACTACCCTTAACTCAAACCCCTCCATTTTGTTTATGTTCAAAACTTGACCATTCCTTTGTCTGAAGAAGCTTGTTGCTCTGGCCACCTTTTCAGGTCTTTAGTCTCTTGTGAAGGATCTCATATACATGGAAAGATTCAGTAAAATTTGTATGCTTTTCTTTTGTTAATCTGTCCTCATTTGTTTAATTTTCGGACCCAGCCATTGATCCTAAGAAGGTCAAGGAAAACTCTTCTCCCTTACAATTTCTTGCACTCCAAATGTGTCACCATTGGCTAGGGACACCTTGCTTGATCTGAAAGCTGCACTCAGAGAGTGATTCTGAACCTCTGGCAAAATCCATTAGAAAGTGAAAATTCCTGACACATCGGTCTTTCAGATCTGCCTGTTGCAATAAGTTGGGCAAAGGTAGATTACCATTTTTGTTTTTCCCAGATTCATATTGGCAGGAGAAAGACATTTATAAGAATTAGTTCTTTGGATTCTGACTCTTGTTAAAATTTGATTTGGGTATGCCCATTAGTTGTTGACCCTTTCTCTCCCAGGGACAGCAATAGCTTTCCTGTTTCTCTCTTGTTTTGTGTCCTGAGCATTTGGCTTGTTTTTCTGCTCATTGGGGCATGCAGGTTTCTCAGGCAACCAATTGTCAGACTGGGCCCCCCAAAATATGGCTGTACAGAAATGTTGGTTGCACCCCGTTCATGCCAAGTATCCTACTGACTCTTGCCAGCTCTCAGGAAAGTCTTTTTTTGGTTCTGGATCTTGGGAGGTCTGCGTCTTTTTCACCTTCTGTGGGGATGCCTCTTGAGTTCATGGCTAAGTACTGGTTTTGGTTTTAAGTCATTTGATAGGTAAACCTTTGGTATACGTATTTGAAATATTTGAAACTATTTTTTAAAAAGAGCTCTATGGCCAGAAGTTGGCCAAATTGGAGACTGATATTCAGAGCCTGATAGAGCTTTTTTTTAAAGGCCTTCCCTCCTAAGCTAAAATAAAGTTATGTACTCAGAGGGAAAGAAAACGTGATGAAGGTTTTGTGGAATGATTTATTAAAGCATTTCAAAGACATGCAGCTCTAAATCTAGAACATAGAAATTCTTAAATTTCTACCTTAGTTGGAAATTTCCTCCCTGATATAAGCAGCAAACTGAAGATAATGTAGTTAGATGGGTCTTCCCTTTGTATTGTTCAGGCTGCAAACCAATTCTTTGAGGAATTTTTTAAAACTGTCTTTGTCTTACAAATCTAGTCTTTGCAAAACTGGAAATGTGGCTCTAATAGCAGTTCAAAGTCCATCTACCCTTATCAATCACCAAGTATCCCCAATTCAGCTCAAAATGCTTGTAGACGTAAAATACCAGGACATTAGAAAGAGAACTCTCTGCACTTAAAAGAAAGAAAAATTGAAACAATAATCACCCTAGACCTCTGATAATAGGCAATTATGCCCCCAAAACTCCTCTGGGAAGAAACCTACATACTTTCTGTGTCCCTAGGAGATGCAAATTTTACCATGTTTTGAAATGTAAACATCCCAAGAGATGACTAAGATACTATCCACAACCACCTGAGATTGAAGAAAACAGAAAGGGAAAAAAGGCTTAAAAAAACAAACCCAAAACTGCTATAAAAGCTCCCTTACTGAAAATCTAGTCCATAACCTCCATAAAATTACTTGTCAAGGGCGGATACAAATTTTGTTTTCTTCACTAATATTGGTAAAATGCTTTAAACATCTGAGCAGATAACTGTAACTTGCTCCATCTGTTTTTTTATAAACTAGTGGGTTTTGTATTAGTGTTCCTCACATGACTAAAATTTAAAAATAAAAGCTGTAAGATCTCTGTGTCTGTCTATATGTTTATTTATGTTGATATATGTGTCATTTAATCAATTAACTGGAAGGCCATTAAGTTAGGGGGCTCTAAAGTGATAGCACCTACATAAGCAAACCAAATCTATAAATACTTAAAGGCTGTGAAATTAAAACCTAAGAACAAAATATAACCGGAGTTACATTTTG